TGCTAGCAACCCATGGACTCATGAATAAGTGGCCATAGTGGCAGGGATGGAGTTTGTACTTGGGCTCAGCAAAAAAGGTCAATTTAGTTGTAGATGCTGCTGAGTGCCTAATGTGGCAGAGACTAATACTAGTCTTGAAATGGCACTGTTCCCTAAGGTGCTAAGCCAGCGAGCTATCTTATAGAAGGTTGATGCCACTGGAGTACTTCCATCATGGAAAGAGCAGCATCTTTCCGGCAAATGGGCACATGCTTGTGGAGTTCACTGACTGTACTATGTTCCCTACTTTCCTAAAACAACTTGGCTTCCTAAAACAACAGAATGTCTTTTTGAAGATTGCTAAGTAGTAATACTTTGCAGGACTTGGGCCAAGTTCTCAGATTATGTATTCTCTGAACTAATGTCTAACATGCTGTTTCTTCAGCAGCCAGGATTCACAGGTCTAATTAAGAGGTCGGAGTCAGAGTGGCATCTCTTATGCCTTTAGTGACCCACTGACAAAATTTTTGCCTCTTGTCATTGTGAGCATATATGCTCTGTTGGCCTAGAGATCTTAGTTCCAAAGGAAGAAATGCTTATACCAGGAAATAAGATAATTCCACAGAAATGGAAGTTCATATTGCCACCTACCCAGTTTGAACACTGTGTTTCTGAATCAAAATGCAAGAGAGGAGTTACGCCAGCTGGAGTATTTTATCTTGACTAAAGGGGAAAGTGGTCTGCTATGCTACATTGGGGAGAAAGGAAGAGTATGCCTGGTATATAGAGATCCCCTCAGGGTATCTTAGTATCATTGTGCATGTAATCAAAGTCAATAGAAAACTACAGCTCAATTCAATCAGGACTACTAATAGCCCAGGTCCTTCAGGAACAAGGAAGATTAAGAATTATAACTAGCTAAGGTGCTTGTTGAAGGAAGGTAAAGGGAACAGCAAAAGTAGCAGTTATGAATAACATCTATAATAGAATTACAGAAGTATTTCCTCCTCATTTTGATATAAATGCATGTATAACATATTGGTAAATAGTTTTATTTTTCTTCCCTTTCTTGTCCCTTTATGACCATTTAGGGTGGGTAGTAAGGGGACTGAATGGAGGAACTCAAACACATCAAGCACACACATTCCCTTTGTTATCTTTAATGAGAAATGTATGGCTTAAGAAAATGAATTTGGTGCATCTATTTGACAGACCTGAGGCAGTTACTGTCTGCTTCTAAGGTTCCCATTACAGATGCAAGAAGAAAGTTTCCTCCAGCTTTCTGTCTGACTGTGACAGCCAAGACTGAATAGAGGAACACAGAGAGGAAAAAAAAAAAAAGAAAAGAAAATGAATTTGGGTGCCAAGAGGTAGACTTATAATGAGTAATTTTATTAGTCAATTTGGAGAGTGTTTTGGGGATGAGATGAAAGTTTAAATCTGCAAACTCTTGAGTCAATAGACTGCTCTCCATTGATGTAAGTGGGCCTCATCCAATGAGTTGAAGGTTGAATGAATAAAAAAAGACTTACTGCCTTTAGAGTTCATCTGTACCAGTAACTTTCATGGGTTTCAAGCTTGCTAGACCACACTGCAGATTTTACATGCTACAGACCGCATAACTACATGAACCAATTCCTTATAATAAATATATGTATCAGTACACACATACTTAAGCCCAGTAGCAGACACTTGTAATCCCAACTACAGGGAAGAATGAATCAGGAAGAATGGCTTCCCAATTCAAAGCCAGCCTAGGGTAACTTAAAACTCATCTCAAAGTAAAAACAAGCACATGCTAACTCACAGATCAAGTGTTTGCCTATAACGGGTAAGACCCTGGGTTTAAATCCGTAACACTAAACAATCTCCCCAATCCTTTCTGGGTTCTAATCTCTGGAGAACTCTAGTACACATGGATTTTTAATTTCTATGTTAGTATTACTATCTTCTCATTCTGATGTGACCATCTAATAACTTGCTTCTGACTGGGACATAACAGTCCATGTGTCTAGAGCCAAACTACGCCCTCAAAAGGGTTCTAACTCCCAGCACCTGAGTATAGGAGGAAATAAGAGTATTAGTTTGATGTCCTAAGATGAGATCATTTGAATGGGCCCTCATACAGTAAATCTAGTGTCCTTGTTAGAGAAATGTCATGTGAAGATAAAGGGTACATAGAATACCAAACAACAGCAGAGACAATTGGAGTGATACTGCCACAAGGAAGTAGTATCAAAGACTGACAGCCACTATCATAATCTAGGACAGGACAAGGGAATTCTGCCCAGAATCTCAAGGAAAGCACTGGCTGCTACCTTCATTTTAAACAGAAGTCTAAAAGCCCTTGATGGTTCTTTATTATGGCAGCCCTAGGAAGCCAATACAATTTTCATTTGCAAGTTTTACCTATCTGTACCCATGCTGATAGTATCAGATTGCTAGAATGCCTCCAACTTCTTGCCACTATAAATAATGCTAATAAAATTTACTGTTTAAGATGTCAAATTTGGGTGTGATCTATTATAAAGAAATAGATGACTAAACTAATGCCATAGGCTTTCTCTCCATCCCCAAAACTAATGGGTAGCAAATGAGATTTCCTTGTTTTGATTTATATTTTTTTTCTGAAAATTGATTCTGAGCATGTAACAATCTGTTTAGAACCTTTGCATATTTTATATTGGCATGACTCTTTTCTCTTTTCCCCCGCTTCTAATGCTGAGACATGGTCTTGCTATGTGGCAGGTTGGCCTTAAACTCATGGCTTCTCTAACCTATACCATGAAATACAAGAATCTGAACAGAAAGATGGAAAACAGTAACTTGGAAGAAGCAGGAATGGTATAGGGAAGAAACTACTCTATTTTTGAAATCAAAACTGAAGATTATAATAAAGGAGCATTAGAGAATAAAAATGAACTTGTGTTGATCAAAGATATCAAAGTAGATAAGATATAAAATATGGACAATAAAACTATAATTACATAGGTAAATACAGCAGAGAGACAGAACACTGGTTGTTCTTGCAGAAGACCCGGGTTCAAATCCCAGCACCCACATGGCAGCTAACAACTGTCTATGGCCTCTTCTGTCCTCACAGGCATTGCATGACACAGGTGCACTTACCAATATGCAGGCAATACACTCATACACATAAAATAAAAAAATAAATAAAATATTAAAAAAATATTTTTATTTGTGTTTGCATGCATGCCCATAGCACATGTATGGAAATCAGAGGATAATTTGAAGGGACCAATCCTCTTCTCCCACCATGAGGGACCCAGGGATCGAATTCAGACACTAACTCATGGACAGGTTAGTCCAACTCTTACGCAGGAGGCTTTGATAGCTTCCTTTTACTACTGTGGTATGTAACTGATAAAAGCCATATCCTTTCGTATCTATTCTTCTTCCTCCTCCTCCTCCTCCTCCTCCTCCTCCTCCTCTTCTTCTTCTTCATCCCTTTCCTAACTCTGCACTCCAGTTTCTTGGGTGGTAAACACAAACTCTGCACCTCTCTCCCCAAACGCTTATCGATAAATGCTAGTTTTGGCTTTTATCTTATAGGAAAGGGCTCACAGGAGCATCTTACTATCTATTCTAGTAGATCCATGTATTTACTGAGCATACACTTAACACATTGGCTTTTGTTCTTTTTTTTTTTTTTTTTTGTTTTTTTTTTGGTCTTTTTGAGACAGGGTCTCCCTGTAGCCCCAGCTGTCCTGGAACTCACTATGTAGACCAGGCTGATCTTGAACTCACAGAGATCCACCTGACTCTGCCTCCCAAGTGCTGGGATTAAAGGCGTGCGCCACCACGCCTGGCTGCTTTTGTTCTTTTAAGCCAGAAATGCTGGCCTTTATCTTTGATTTGTTTTTGTAGTTTTGAGTAAGTAAATTTCTTTGAGTAATTTACTGATAATGACACTGGAGTTGTTTCTAATTTTTACTACTGCAAACCATGCTACAAAATAATCAGGTTACATGTGTCATGTGTGCAAGTGTAACAAGATAAATTTTAGGAAATACAACCTTCTGGACCAAAAATTAAATGCATTCTCACTGGTAGGTATTGCCCAATTGACTTCCACAGGGCTGTATCAATTTACATTCAACAACAGTCTCTGAGCACTTTTCCCTGACAACCAGCAGAACATGCCACCAACCTTCATGTTTCTGCCAATAAATGAACGGTAACACTTTTAGTTTAGTTTCTCTTTCTGTGAATGAGGTTGGCAGCTTTTTATATACTTAAAATGTACTCTAATTTTCTGGGAATTATCTATTCACATTACTGTCCACTTTGTGGAGTGTGCTGTGCTAACATGACTACTCTTCATCTATGATGTGATTTACACGTGTCTCACTCATTTTAAATTACAAGTAAGTTTTAGGTTGCAAAGATTTTTTGCTGCAACGCCATAACCACTGAACAACTCCCCTTTACTCAGCCCCTAATAAAAACCATTTCTGCTTTCCGGTTCTGTGTCTGACTACTTTAAATACCTTGTATAAATGCAATCATACATCAAGCCCAGGGCTCTGCACACATAAGAGTGAAGAAATTTATCCTTTTATTTCTATTTTTTGGTCTTTCTGAGACATGGTCTCCCTGTAGCCCCAGCTGGCCTTGAACTCACCAAGATCTGCCTGCCTCTGCCTAATGAGTGCTGGGGTTAAAGGTGTGCACCACCATATCCCGCTGAAATTTGTTCTTTTAAAAGGATGTTTTAAATTTGTAATCCAGGCCTGGAACCATCAGCACTCCTCCTGCCTTAGCCTCTCAAGTGCTGGGATCACATATATGCATCATGAAGCTCAGCAATACTTTTCTTTTTATGACTGGCTTATTTCACTTAGCATACCACTTTCAAGACACATTCATTTTGCATCACATGCTTTTCAGAGGCTGAGTAATAGTCCACTGTGCACATATCACATTTTCTTTATCCACTCAGAGGCATTTTTTCATTGTTTTTTTTTTTTAAGATAAAATCTCATTCACCCAGACTGGCCTTGAACACTCAATTCTTTTGCATCTGCCTCCCAAGTGCTAGGATTTGCTGTATCGGGCTAGGTGCTGTTTGCTTAATTTATCAGTATTGTGTGTGTATACACATGATGGCGGGGGAATAAAAATGTGGAGGGAGGAAAACTCTGTGCAATCAGCTCTTTCTTTCCACTTTTATGTGGGATCTGGGACTCAAATTCAGGTGGCCAGGCCTGCACAGAAAGCACCTTTACCTGCTGAGCCATCTCACCAGCCTCAAGAGTGTCTTTTTAAAGTAGGAAACCTTATCAATGACTTTATGACTTCTGAACTGAGTTTGCTGATGCTAGGGATTGCACCCAGGGTCTTCTGCACTCTTCTACCAAGCTACATCCCTAGTCCAACCTGCTTTTTAGATGCTTTCCCCATACCAAGAACATAAAAAGCCATCTTCCACGTTTTTAATACTTACATGGATTTATTTTTCAATGACTCATGTATGAAGTATGTGGGGAAATTTTTTTTTTCTTGGCTACTCATTTTTTTTTCCTTACACACTTGGAAACATTATGTCTATTATTTAAAATTAAAATTAATTTATAAAGGTCCCTTAGTGACAACTGTTATCTTCAATATATTCTTCCACTCCAAAAATTTGGCATATTTTTTCATTTGCTCAAGGCTTGTTTTTGTCTTTCTGTCAAAATATTTACTGCTGTGGCTGGAGAGATGGCTCAGTGGTTAAGAGCACTGGCTACTCTTGCAGAGGACCCAGGTTAAATTCCCAGCACCTGAATACGGCTAACAACCGTCCATAACGCCAGTTCCAATGGGAATCTGACACGGTCGTCTGACTCCACGGGCACTGCACGACATGGGTGCACTTACATACAAGTAGGCAACACATACACATAAAATAAGAAATAAAATAAATATTTACTGCTATCAAATCTTTCCTCTCTCCCTCCTTTTTTTGGGGGAGGCTTTTTTAGACAGGGTCCCCCTGTAGCCCCAGCTGGTCTGGAACTCACTATGTACACAGGCTGGCCTTGAACCCACAGATCCTCCTGCCTCTGCCTCCCAAGTGCTGGGATTAAAGGTGTGCACCACAGCACCTAGTTTAAGTTTTTCTATTTTTTTTTCCTGAAAATTCTTACTAAGGTTAATGCTATGTTATCTGATAAACTTTATTTGTACCCTTTTAGAATAAATGCCATTCTTCATTGGTTTATAGTATGAACTCCACCTACTATAAGATCCTACCACTCCTAATTTTTTTCATTTGTATTTACATACCTCTGTTCATCTTTCAAAATGCCAATGTAGTTAT